GCCGCGCTCAGGTACCCTGCTCCGCCCGTGGGAAATACAGCGCGGAAAGAAAGTCGAAGACTTTCACGCTGAAATGCTGGGGTCTCCGCTCCCGGCGAAGATGAGCCGGGAAGCATGGCAGGGGCTCCGCGGGTAACACGGACCCTCAGCCGCGTCCACGAGCTCGGGGCCTCGCAGGCCGTCTCAGAACCTGTTTTGTGCCATTCATTGCTTTTCTAGTACTAGAAGAAAGAACACACAGAAGATTCGGTTTTCCACGGTAAACTGAAATCGTAAAAGCAGAAGGTCCTTCCAATTAAAACAAAACAAAGAACCCCGTATTCCTTTTTTCTCCTCGTAGCATTGTTACAAAATTACAGTGTCCCCAGTGAAGCACGTCAGTTTCCCGAACTCCCGCAAAACGACCGGGTGCAAAATTGTGAATGATAATAACATGTCTATTTTAGAGACGGGGGAAAACGACATGGTTTGTTCTATCTGCCCAGTGAAATATGCCAGGGAAGGAGTTACTTTCAGATTGAAATCGGAGGCGGTGAAGTCTTCATCCCGCAGGACTGTTTTCCTAGCCGCCCCTGGAGGAGAGGAGGGGAGGGCGGCTGGGAGGACTGACACTGGGACATCAGCCGGGAAGGCTCCCGGATGCCGAGAAACTTTCTAACTTGTGTTCACAGACACTGCCCGACTCGGACTGGAGTTCCCTCCATCGTTTCAATAAAACATGACTGTATTGATATAATCCTCTATACATTAAAATGAGGTTGTCACAGATTGTCATTAAGACCTCAGTAAAACAATGAAGACGTTATTGGGCACCCCCCCTCAGGCAAGGTATTAGGGGAATAAAGCAATCTACACCACACGGGTCCTATTGAGATTAATGAAAAAATTATGCAAAAAAAAATCTCAATTTCATTTTCCCGTGACGGGGCTTTGCATACATACAGTCAGTCTTGCCTTGCACCTGATGATTTATTAAACTAATCTACAGCGATCACCACTGATGTTCTCGACTCAATCTTGTCCCGGCTCATTTTCTAAGTAATTGTTTCTCATTAGTTCTGATAATGTTTTAATAGTGTTACCCATAATTTAGACCCCAAGAATTAATAACAGGGGGGTGATATGGCTAAGCGGCTTGTGATGAGCTACACAAAATATAAACAGGTATGGTTTCTAATTAATCAGATTAGCTGCAAGGTCCTCTTCCTGTCACCCATGCCTGGCTCAGGAGCCGGGCAGCTGTCACTTCCCCATGTCCGGGGTGCCCGGTGAGCTCAGTGGAGATCACTCACCCACCCTTGGCTGCTCTCCCACCTTTCCCAGGGCACCTGGGCCCACCCAGGGCACCACAGAGATGCGGGTGGGGAAAGAGGGGGAATACCCTTTGCCTTCCAGCATCTTCTTCCTGGAGTTTTGTTCTTCAAGGACTAAGGCACCATGGGTTTCTGATCAGGACTGAACTCTCTTCTGGGACCCTCGTCGTTTGGGTCTCTGTTCAGGGAATGGGACTTTGGTCCAGATTTGTGACTCTCATAGGTCCTAATCTCATGATCCTACCCTAATAGGGACCATGGATTATGAGGAAGATAATAAACTGGACATTTGGGGAGACTGCAACAAGGTGGTTTTGTTTGAACAAAGCAGTTTGGGATGAGGGCAGGGGCGTGGCGAGCAGTCCGACGTGGTTGGGACCTAGGAAACCGTGGCCTGGGAGTGGCCAGCAGCGGGAGACCTAGCCAGTCAGGCCTCGGTACCACCCAGGGACCTTGCGGAGGGGCCTGCTTTTCCCCAGGTCTTAGGGCTCCTTGGCTGGGGAGGTCTTGAGGAGGCTCCTCTGTGTGGGGCGGGCGGGCTGGCTGCCAGTGGGGCCAGGGTGCAGACTAGAATGCAAGCCCCTCATCACCTCAAGCCAAGGGCTTCTTTGGATTAGGCTGGAGGATGGGAAGGGTAGTTAGATTGGGGTGAGGGCTGCCCATAGGAAGGACGAGGTGGGGTTTGTTTTCTTCTTTTGCTTAGGACCAGCCCTGCCTCCACGGTTTCTAACACCCTCAGCAGGTGTGTATGGCAGGGGCAGTGACAGAGGCCTTCCTTAGTCTTCCCACTGCCAAGCCATCCTCCCATCCCTCTGCGTTCTGAGCAGAGGGGCAGCCTGGTGTGCGCAGCGTGGTCCTGGGTTACCTGGTGGGCACCTGACTCCAGGAGTCCCATCCTGGGTGGGTCCCAGCTGCAACAATGGGTGCTGTGGGTGCTCCTCCAGGAACTGCTGCTGCTGCCCCGTCTGGGGTCTGGAAGCAGTGTGGCTAGAGGCCGTTCGGCTCTCACCTTGGTGAGATGCCATCTTCCTCCTTTCCGCCTCTGAGTGAGGATGGGGCTAGCTCCCGCCTTCCTTTCTGGCCACTCTGGGGCAGCACAGGGCAGCCAGGGTGGAGGGTGGCACTGCTCTATGAGGGACCCCACGGAGCGTGTGCCATCTCCATTTAGGAGCTCTCTGTCTCCTGGATCCCGTGTTTGGGAAATGAGTTGTTGTCTTCACAGAATGAGGATCCCCAGAGCCATCTTGCCCAGTGCTGGCTCCCCGCATGGCTGTCCCTCTCTGCTGTGCACTGGGGGGGGGGGGGGGGGTCACCTGGTGGCCGTGGGACTCTGCGGCCATGCTTTCATGTGATGGTGCCTCTCCTGGTGTCTAACCTCAGCTCCACTCACCTCTCGGGCTTCCTGTGGGAACTGCAAGAAGTGGGGAAAAGGAGATGCCTGGTTGGGGCTCACGCTAGGGGCTGCGGAGGAAATAATCCAAAAGGGCGTAGGAGGAGGTGAAAAATGAAAGTAAAAAACAACTGTTTTCTATTTACAAATTTAAATAAACAGAACAGCCTTCCCCGCGGTGTTTGTCTAAGAGTAGCAGTGTTGCTGCTGTGTAGGTCATGAAAAGGTTGGTGTAGAGTTTAAAACTTCCCATTCTGTTAATTTCTTAAGGAACAGTCGTCCAGAGTCTCGGCACAAAAGCTCATGATTTAATGAGGAACAGAAACAAAATCTCTGATTGTTGGTGTTTCAAACTTCATTGGCGTCCTCTGGCAAGCACAAGTTGATCCCTCTGCAGCTTCAATACCCTTTAGCCTTCAATATAAGAGTACATGCTGAATAGGGAACAATGGCTGGTTGTTATGTTTATTTACCCTTACTACAAGCTGGGTTAACCTCTTCAAAACAGCTTTACTAAGCCCGTTAACCACACCACCCATCTGACCTGCAGCCGCATCTCTAATGTGATGCAAATCTTGCAGGGGCCACATGCACCAGCTCGGGGGCATTGTGTCTCCTGAGACGCTACAAGTTTATGACTGAGGGAGTCCTGTCTCGGCCATACATTTCCAGGGGGAAATGGCCTCAATGGCAAACAGTTAAACGGGAAAATAAAGGGGGAGAATGGATGGTCGTGTGTTTCTGCACATTTATTTTTTAATTGCCAGTAACGGTTGACCCACAGCGTTCACCCAGGACGACAGCTTTCCTGTTCATCATCTAGCGGTTGGAGGAGATGGATGTTTCATTTTGGGGGTGGAGGTTAATAGTAACCAGTTTTGAAAGTTTATTTTTAGAAAGTGTCTTTTTAAGCCAATATAGTACTTAGTATCCTTGTCTGATGCCATCTCTGTTGTTTTATCAGATTACTAGTGAAGTAGAGATGAGCCCTTAATGTTGTTACTATTTTTTAAAGGCCTGGCTTTCTTAAAATTATCTGTGGTGTCAGCTGTACACATGAACAAGCAGGAAACATTTAGTAACATGAGAAGGGTGGAGAGAATATGTCTATTTGGGAAAGACCGTGTCATTAAAGACCTACCTTCCCCTCACAGCCCATCTTTCCCCAGGATCTTACCTCCCTGTGAAATCATAAGCCCATATTTGTAACACACTAAAAATGATAAAGTCATAAACTTGGATCCAAAAGGAAAAACGTTCATTTTTTTTAGGGGAATAACTGGTCAGTAAGACAACAACAACAAAATCGGGATTCACATGAGCTGTAAATGGAGTCAGGTCCCAATCTGGCATCCTAACACGTTGCTTTGAGTATTGTGGTTTGTCTTTAAGAAACCCACTGTATATGTTCAGCCCACCTGATGAGAGCTTCATTTAACAGATCATTTTTCCTTGATGGAGGTGGCAAGCGTAACAATGTTCTGGGCCTGCTTCAGTAATGGCATGTCGATCATACTCCCTTGGAAAGTAAAGGCTCCCTGGAAAACAGAGAACACGAACTCCCCAAAAGACTGCTCAAATGATAGGTTTCCTTTCTGTGCACGCTTGCACAACAAGAACATTTTAGATTCCACCTGAATTATACTGACTTTCCTACCCAACTTTTGAGAAAGCCAAAGTAAATTACAGAGGAGAGATTTCTTTTTTCTCCTAAAGACTGGAAAAGAATAAAAATCTTCAGCATTTTAATGGAGAGGAAAAACACATCGGACACAAGACAGGAAACTGTTCAGTTAGCTCTTGAAATCAAGCAGAAAACAGCTGTGGGAGGAAAATCTAAATACTTCCCTATATATTTTTGAAATATTATGTAGAACTTTAAAAGCAGGAATATATTCTGGCAACTGATTATTGTTTTAAAAATTTGTACCGTCAGGCTAATGGCAAAATCTTACCGCCTTGCTGTAACATAATTGAGAGGTAACCTGATAAGGTGATGAGAAAATGCAAGGTAGGATAGTACTGAGTACAAAGAGATGAGTCTGTTGGTACACACTTACAGACCATTAGAATGACCAGGGACTGCTGGGCGCGGTGGCTCATGCCTGTAATCCTAGCACTTTGGGAGGCCAGGACAGGCAGATCACCTGAGGTCAGGAGTTCGAGAGCAGCCTGGCCAACATGGTGAAACCCTGTCTCTAATAAAAATACAAAAAAATTAGCTGGGCATGGTGGTGCATGCCTGTAGTCCCAGCTACTTGGGAGGCTGAGGCAGAAGAATGGCTTGCACCAGGAGGCGGAAGTTGCAGTTAGCCAAGGTCACACCACTGCACTCCAGCACGGGCAACAGAGCGGGACTCCGTCTCAAAAAAAGAAAGAAATACCAGGGACATGAGCTGTAACAAAAGAATCACAGATCTGTTGAATGTTAAGATGGGAAGACATCTCTAAAATCTCCTGGAATAGCCCCATTTTACAGACTCATTTTTTTAAAAAACTTCTACCATACTTATATAGACTGTGTCAAGTAACCTAAGCCCTGTTCTAGATGAGGAAATGGAGGCTCAGAGTAATAAAAGAAGGAAAAAAAGAAGTGATCTTCCAAGGTCATGTGACTAGGGAAAGCCAGAGCTGGGGCTGATGCTTGGGTCTCAGAGCTTCAAGCCTTCATCAGAGATCCCCACATTAAGAAGACAAGGTAGCTTCTTTAAGTGCATCAGCAAAAGACAGATTAAATGGACAGAAAGCAGCATGCTCAGAACTCAAAGTTAATGTCTGGTTATTTGTGTTCTTTTCATCACTTCCTTTTGTTGCTTACAATGATAGCCCTTCATCCTAATCCACCTTGCTTTGACCTGTGGGCAAGGATGCTGGTGGGAGTGGGGAGCAGGGGTCGTTTGATATCTGGAGGTGGTTGGGGCAATCCTAACGCACATTGATGACAGTCCATTTGCATCTATTGCAGCTTGTTTCTGGATTTCACAAGTACCACTTCCCAACAGTCAATGCTGATGTTACTCAGGGCTGCTGGGATGGGAGTGCTGGGCTCCCATGATGAGGGCTGAGGTAATAAGTTATGGTTATACATAGGATGGAGGTAAAGAAAAATGGGGGGAATCCTTAGCAATGACTTTTGGGATTTATCTTTCGATTGAGAGAGATTCTAAGCCTACTAGGATCAGGATTTTTACCAGTAGTGGCCAACCTTCTCAGCCTTAGAATGATGACTCTTACTCATATGAACACCTGTGTGGCCTAAATTCCTGTACTGCAAGTCACTTCCCAGTCCTCTCGTTTTTACTGTTTATACCCCCGGATTGTCCTTTCCATAACTTAATTCAGCCTCGAGCTGATGACCAGGAGGAATTTTCCTAATTTGGCTGGAAGTTCCGAGGAGGTCCAGTAGGTTGGCGTTATGTGGAAATCAGGGCCTGGGTCACATGCTGTTTTACAAGGCAGTCGTCTGGTTTTCTTATTGGAGTAAATGATGAAGACCAAAGGCCTCTTGGTTATCTGCCCACCAAGTGGATTATGGCCCTGTAAAACAGCACATCTGTCTTGCTAGGGTTTAAACAATAGGCTGGGGAGACGAAATTAGCATAGATGCACATGAAATCAAAACGGTGCACAAAGAATCCAAACGGTGGCCGTGAGTCTGTGCCACGTTCCCAAAACTGCTTTGGGTTCCATGTGCATATCAAAGATGAAAAACACTTCACATAGTTTTTCAAGACTGGGAGATCATTTCTTCTATGGTGGCAGGTTTTGCTTGATTTTCTTTAATGAAGCTTAAGGTACAAAACAAAATGTAGCATATTTGTTCTGTGTCCTGCATCTCTGCAAATGGATGATTTCAGTGTTATGAACGAAACTGCCTAGCGTGAATATCCCCAGGCTCTCACATAGCCACTTGTAATTTAGGTGGCATTTTTTTAAACATGTGGATCTATAGGTGAGATGAAAATAGTCTATTGGTCAGGATTTGGAAAAATGCAGTTCATCAAAAAGCTACTTGGATTTTTGGGGAAGGTTTGAAATCTTCCTTAATGATTATATTTTATATTTATTTATTTATATATTTTTTGAGACTGAGTCTCACTCTGTTGCCCGGGCTGGAGTGCAGTAGCGCAATCTCGGCTCACTGCAACCTCTGCCTCACAGGTTCAAGTGATTCTCCTGTCTCAGCCTCCCAAGTAGCTGGGACTACAGGTGCATGCCACCACATTTGGCTAATTTTTTTTGTATTTTCAGTAGAGACTTGGTTTCACCATGTTGTCCAGGCTGGTCTCGAACTCCTGGCCTCAGGTGATCTGCCTGCCTCGGCCTCCCAAAGTGCTGGGATTACAGGTGTGAGCCACCGCGCCCGGCCTCATGGTTAAATTTTTTAACACCCATGCTACTGTCATAATAATAGCTGTAATTCTTTGAGCAATTCCTAGTCTGGGGCCTGTTGCCTGGCACTTTAAATACATTATTTCATGTAATGCTCATAACAACACTTTGAAGTAGATACCATTATCCATCCGCAGTAAAACTTTTGTTTTTCAGTTGTGGCAAAAACATGTAACATAAAATTCACCATCTTAGATGTTTTTAAGCGTACGGTTCAGTAGTGTTAACTCTATGTACATTGTGCTACAGATCTCCAGAGCTTTTCCTTCTTGCAAAACTGAAACTCTGCAACCCGGGCGCGGTGGCTTACGCCTGTAATCCCAGCACTTCAGAGGCCAAGGCAGATGGATCACCTGAGGTCAGGAGTTCAAGACCAGCCTGGCCAACATGGTGAAACCCTCTCTACTAAAAACACAAAAATTAGCTGGGCGTGGTGGTGGGCAACTGTAATCTCAGCTACTCGGGAAGCTGAGGCACAAGAATTGCTTGAACCCGGGAAGCAGAGGTTGCAGTGAGCGGAGATCGTGCCACTGTACTCCAGCCTAGGTGACATAGCGAGACTCCATCCTAAACCTCCCCCCACCCAAATCCCTGAAACTCTGTATCTATTAGACAGTTCTCCATTTCCATGTCCCCCTGCCCCCAGCAACCACCATTCTACTTTTAACAAGGATGCCAAAAGTAGAATCCTTGGGTTTCACTCTGTCACCCAGGCTGGAGTGCAGTGGCATCATCACGGCTTAACGCAGCCTTGACCCCCCAGGCTCAGGCCATCCTCCTGCCTCAGCCTCCTGTGTGGCTGGGACCATAGGTGTGCACCACCATGCCCAGCTAATTTTTTATGTAGAGACAAGGTCTCCCTATGCTGCCCAAGCTGGTCTCAGATTCCTAGGCTCAAGTGATCCTCCTGCTTTGGCCTCCCAGAGTGCTGGGATTACAAGGCATGAGCCACTGCCCACCACCATTCTCCTTTCTGTCTTTGAGTTTGTACTCATCCCCTTTTAATAACTGAGGAAACAGAGGCAGAAGGAGCTTAAGAAACATGTGCAACTTGGCCCTGTAGTTAGGAAATATATAGCAGAACAGGGATAAAGCTGATTCTATCTAATGCCAAGCCTGTGCTCTTAGGGGCCTGGTGATTGAAAAGGGTTCTCTGAGTGTGTTCTGTGACTCCCTGAATCAGAATAATGGGTGGGGGAGGGGGGGCTTGTTAAAATGCAGATTCCTGGGCCCAGTCCCACATGGTTTGTGCAGAAAACCTGGAGGTTGACGGGGACTCCTCTGGTGATTCTAATGCATATTCATGTTTGAGAGCTTCCATGTTTTAGCTCCCCCAGGTAGAAATGGTTAGGCTGGCTTGGATATGTATGTCTATAAACTGAAGAGCCCTCTTGCAGCCTTCTGTAAATGATGCCTTTCTCTTGTAAGGCATCCCCAAGATGCGAAATGGCAGAATTTTCTTAGGTTAATCACCACTTATTCATTCATCCGTCAAGAATGGACCGAGCAGCTCCCTTGTGCCAGTCGCTTGGGACTGTGAGAGGATGCGACTTGGCCCTGCCCTCTGGGAGCTTACCATTCGCTGGAGGGGAGAGGGAAGGAAGAAGCAGGTGCTACCTGATGCAACAAGAGTTGGAGAAAAGGCCAGGGTGGTGAGCACAGGGACGATCTGAGGGCCTACAATGGCTGCACTTCTTCCCAATCTGGGCCATCTTTGTGGGACTGCACTGCTCACACAGATGGGTACCTACAGCAATGCCAGGCATCGCGTGGAGCTCCGGACATCTTGGGCTTTTATTTGACAGTTACCTATGGCGTTATGTGTTGTAATAAATCACTGGTCAATTGCTTTGCACATCTTACTATACATATGTCTATGATTTCAGACTCCTGAAGGTGAAGGCCAGCATCACCATAGCACACGTGTCTTTTGCATAGGAAGGAAACAGTCACCATCGAACTGTGGTTTTTCTGACACCTTGGCCATTGCCCGTTGATCAGATAAGCACTGACATAATCTGACTTACAATTTGACAGTGAAAGAGGTGATGCCAGTATGATGACAATAGTAATCACATCTATGGGAAATTGTCATATATTTTGCATTTCTGGCACTTAGTACTTGACTTTTTTTCTCCACAGTCCTAAAAGAGTAATTTTCTAGAAACCACAAACTGATCTAAGTCTTTCCCTATTCCCTATGTTTCCAAATAACTTCTGTGGACACTGAGGGGGTTGCAACACCACATTCTGATGACGGCGTTGCTGTGGCTCCCTGAGAGGGAGCTCTCTGTGAGAATTCAACGCTATTATTTGAATACAGCTGCTGGAGTCCTTCTTTTTTGGGGTATCACCCTTTTCCCATATGGTGCTAAGTCTTTCTGCTCAATGAATGACTGGCCTCACAGCAGTTCCCAGGGAATTCCTAAACTTCCAGCCAGTGTTGGCCATGATCAAATTTCTCCTCGAGATCCTGGCTGTGCCTTCCACTTGCTAAATCTCTCAGCCCAGCTGTGGCCTCCTGGGATATGGCTCTTCCTTACCTACAAAGTCAATAGCGCCCTGAAACTCCCCAAAAAAGGGTGGAAGATGATGCTCCCAGAGACACTCTCACGGGCACTGCTGCATTCTTCTTTCCTGTTTTTCAACTTCTCCCACTTGGAGAGTCCTTAGAAAGGCCCTCGTGTGCCCTCGGTTCCCTCTCAATTTTGTTGTGACATTCATTTGAAGGATGTCCGTTTGGGTGCCAGGCACCCACAGCTCAGTGAGGCTTCCCGGCTCCAAAGCTGGCTCCCGGAGCTCTCAGGGACGTGGTGCCAGGATGTTTATAGGGGGTGGCACTTTTCTAGTTGGGAGCATGCTGTTATCTTTCTAAAACAGATCTGATGGAATCATCCCCTTGCTTTAACCTCGCCGTGGTTTTCTTTGGACTTGCAGAATTAAGTGCAGTATCTTCAGTGGAGACCCAAGCCTGCCCATGATGGGACCCTGCCCCCCTCAGCCTCGTCTCCTGCCAGTCCCCTGAGACCCATCCCCCAAAACACACTGCCCTGCAGCTCTGCCGCATGCCCTGCTCTCTCTCTCTCTGAAGGCCCTTTCCCTGTCTGGCAAACTCCTCCTAATGCTTCCAGATGTCAAGTTGTCAGCTCTATGAAGTGTTTGAGGCCTCCTTGCTAGAGCAAATCCCTCTCCACCCTTTCCCTGTGCAGATCCCGGTATAGCCTGTGTTCCTATCTATTTGCTTACATTGCTGTCTTTCTCACAACGCCGTGAGGCGCCTGTGGGCAGGCGCCAGGCCTCACGTGCCTTTGACTCCCAAGAGCCAGCACCCAGCACCCAGTACCCAGTACCTGCCAGGAACACAGGAGATGCTCTGTGACTGCTGACCTGGCGATGATGGAAAAGGCCGAATGAAAAGCCAAGAGCAGCAATACCGACCTGCCTGAATAGAGGGACACAGGTTCGATAGTTGGTGATTTGGGTCATTCTTTTTCTTTAATTTGGGACCTTAGGGAAGGGACTGTAGTTGTCTGGGCAAAGCTTTGCTCTCACACATACCTGCTGGGTCTTTAAGTCACCTGAATGTGCAGTGAGGTTTCATCCCAGCTGGTCTCAGGGATATGGGGCTCTGCCTCCCACCCCATCAAGCTGTGCAGGATGCCCTGGCCCACACCTGTGCCTATCAGTTCCCTGCATCGACATGGATGCAGAGTCTACTGCATGCCTGGCGTGCCACAGGCCCTGGGACTTACGACAGCAGGAACAAGATAGATGTGGTCCCTGACCTCACAGGGCTTCCAGTCTAATGGGGGGAAAGACATTAAATAGACAATGATAGAAACAACTATTTCTTATGAATGAGAATGTTTGTTTAAAAAGCAAGGCACAGGGGAGCTGAAGAGTAACCGATAGGGGACCTAACCTGATCAGGTGGGGCGTCCTGTGGGACGTGATGTTTAAACTGACATGTGATGGGTGAGGAGCAGCTAAGCAGGGGAAAGGGACAGGAGGAGGAAAGGAATACAGAGCAGGGCAAATGATGGCTCTTTCTGGGGTACGAGCTGGGTGACTGAGGGGACAGTGATAGGAGAAGACAGAACCACCCCAGGTCTCCACAAAGCTTTCCAGTTCTGAGCTCACCTTCT